CATCGAAGGTGCCTTCGACAACACATCTCACAAGCGTGTATCCAGGGCGATGGAGAGAAGAAACGTGGCAGCACCGGTGCGCAGATGGATTGAGGCCATGCTGCGCACCAGGATCGCCGAGACCAGGGTGGGTGAAACAAAGATCCGTCTGGGTGCGACAAGAGGCTGTCCACAGGGAGGTGTGCTATCATCTCTACTATGGAGTCTTTTCGTGGACGAACTGTTAGCATTGCTAACTGACAATGGGATCCGCTGCCAAGGGTATGCGGACGACATTGTGATAATAGCAAGAGGCAAACCTGAAGAGGTTCGAATCGTTAATAAACTCCCAAGAAAAAAACTCAGGATCCTGGTCGCATTTTACACCGGCCACTGCAAGCTGAAAAGGCATTTAGCCAACATGGGCCTATCATCTTTCGCCAACTGTCGGTTTTGCGACAGAGACCCTGAAACCCCGGAGCACCTGTTAATCGACTGCATTGCAGTCTGTAGGCGCAGGTCGAAGGCCCTTGGCACCCAGCAAAGTACTGGACTTCATCAATATGCTGGGGCTAAGCGAGTCCCTGTGAGTTAGGAGAGGGCACAATAGACCTAAGGTCGCAGTGTATTCCTCATTTTTTTATCTACAGACAAATTATGCAAATATGGTTGGGAATGAGCGAAGTCTTAAATTTAATCAACTTATAGAAGCATAAATCCAAATATCATTGCTCATTTTAAGTTTATTATTTTAATTGGTATATTAAATTTATGCCACAATTATTAGTCCAAAAATATGAATTGTTATTTCTCCCAGAAATACATTTGTAAGAAAAAAGGATCTTTATCCTTTTTTTATTTTCCAAGTTCTCAAACCTGCGCTACATCAGCTATCTACCCGACGACATTTCGCAAATGATAAAATAAAATTTTCAAGAGGTCAAAGCATGCGCTACATCAGCTCGAACCTACCAACCCTACGCCAGAGATAAAGAGATGTTTAACTCCTCACTGGAAGTGAGAGAACAATTGCTAAACGTCAAAACCTACTGAACTTTGACAGCTAATCGAGTTCAGTAGGTTTTGACGTTTGAAATCTTACCAAAAAAATACGTAAATGGAGGGATTTGTTGCATCGTTCAAGACCACTAATAAAAAATGTAAAACAATGAAAATTTAATAAATTTGTGAAATTTAAAGGTATTTGATGAAACGTTTTGTAATTTGAAGCATCATAGTATTATTTTCAATGGAAAATGATTAAAAACATTTAATGATTGAGAGCTAACAAGCTTAAATCCTTTTATTGGATATTCAAAGGTTGGTTGGTTAGTTGTTCTAATTTACTTTAAAAATATTTAAATAGTTTCTCTATATA